GTCAAATCCGCTTGACCTCACCTGGATGTTGAAGCGCCGGCGTGTTTGCATACAGAAGCGAGCAGGGTAAGAGGTGCCGAGGCAGTCGAGAAGGATTTTTCACTCAACTTAAAGCTCAACTCACCTGAATGTTGAAGCGCCGGCGTGTTTGTGTGCGGAAGCGCGCGGGATAAGAGGTGCCGAGGCAGTAGAGAAGAATGCCGAGGGACGAGAAGATTTGAGTTAACTGAAAAGTCAACTCTGCTTGATCTCACCTGGATGTTGAAGCGTCGGCGTGTCTGCGTGCGGAAGCGCGCGGGGGTAAGAGGTGCCGAGGCAGTAGAGAAGAATTCCGAGGGACGAGAAGAAGTCGAGAGTGGAGCACAGGGCTATGAGCTGTGCGCAGGAGCATGCTCCCCAGGTGAGAGCACAGTAGATGAGGGCCTGGGGGACGAGGGGAGCAGAGATTTTGGGGGAAGAGAGAGGCAAGGAAAGCAGGGGAAAGGGAGGAACACAACACAACTCAAGGGATGAAGTCGTCGAGAGTGGAGCAGAGGGCTATCAGCTGCGCACAGGAGCATGCCCCTCAGGTGAGAGCACAGTAGATGAGGGCCTGGGGGGCGAGAACAGCAGGGAAAGAAGAAACAAGCTGGAAGGATGAGATGAATTTCCTGAGTGGAGCAGAGCTATGAGCATGCGAGCAGGAGCGTGCTCCCCAGGTGAGAGCACAGTAAATGAGGGCCTGGGGGACGAGAACAGCAGGGAAAGCGGGGGAAAGAGCGGAAGGAAAATTGAGGAGTGGAGCAGAGAGCTATGAGCTGCGCGCAGGAGCATACTCCCCAGGTGAGAGCACAGTAAATGAGGGCCTGTAGGACAAGAGAACGGGGAAAGAGGAAACAAGGTCGAGGGATGAGATGAAGATCCTGAGCGGAGCAGAGGGCTATGAGCTGCGCGCAGGAGCATGCTCCCCAGGTGAGAGCACAGTAAATGAGGGCCTGGGGCACGAGAGGAGCAGGGAAAGAGGACACAAGCCCGAGGGATGAGAGGAAGTCGAGAGTGGAGCAGAGGGCTATGAGGTGCAAACAGGAGCATGCTCCCCAGGTGAAAGCACAGTAGATGAGGGCTGAAGGAAGTGGGGAGCACGGTAGTAAGCAGAAGAGAGGAGCAGGGAAAACGGGGTTGTGGGGGGGGAGAAGAGAGGAATGCAACTCAGGGGACGAGATGGAGATTTGGAGAAGAGCAGAGAGCTATGAACTGTGAGCATGAGCATACTCCCCAGGTGGCAGCACAGTAGATGCAGGCCTGGGGGTCGAGAGGATTAGAAAAAGCGGAGGAAAGAGAGGTTTACATTCCATGCAAAGGGGGTACCATGAAAACGCTCCTGAGTTCTTTTTAGGGGACTAAAAAAACATTTCATGCAAAGGAGTAACATAAAAGCGCTCCTGAGTTTTTTTTAGGCGACTCAAAAATCATTCCATGCGAAGGAGTGACATAAAAGCGCTCCTGAGTTTTTTTTAAAACAACATACCAGGCAGATGGAGGGCCACCGAAGGTGATTCAATGCACAGATTCATATGACTTTTGAGAATGCACATGATTCAAAGCACACGATTCATATAACTTTTGAGAATGCACATGATTCAAAGCACACGATTCATATAACTTTTGAGAATGCACATGATTCAAAGCACACGATTCATGTGACTTTTGAGAATGCACATGATTCAAAGCACACGATTCATGTGACTTTTGAGAATGCACATGATTCAATGCACGCGATTCATGTGACTTTTGAGAATGCACATGATTCAAAGCACACGATTCATATAACTTTTGAGAATGCACATGATTCAAAGCACACGATTCATATAACTTTTGAGAATGCACATGATTCAAAGCACACGATTCATGTGACTTTTGAGAATGCACATGATTCAAAGCACACGATTCATATAACTTTTGAGAATGCACATGATTCAATGCACACGATTCATATAACTTTTGAGAATGCACATGATTCAAAGCACACGATTCATGTGACTTTTGAGAATGCACATGATTCAAAGCACACGATTCATATAACTTTTGAGAATGCACATGATTCAATGCACACGATTCATAGAACTTTTGAGAATGCACATGATTCAAAGCACACGATTCATGTGACTTTTGAGAATGCACATGATTCAAAGCACACGATTCATGTGACTTTTGAGAATGCACATGATTCAATGCACACGATTCATTCGTGAGCTTTGCCACGACTACATATCCATGGTTCACCGAAATGTATGGTGCTTTGCCATACCTGTGCGAGCTTGCCATACCTGGAAGGGCGCTTTGCTGGACTGGACCTGTAAAGTGCTTTGCCATACCTTATAAGCACGTTTCGCCAAACCTGCAAGTGCGCTTTGCCATACCTGGGGGGCACAGGTGCCAACCCATAAGCGCAAATCACCATATATAAGGGGGAAAGCTGCCGGACCTGTTAGAGAACTTTACCATATAAAGGGGGAAAGCTGCCGGACCTGTTAGAGAACTTTACCATATAAAGGGGGGAAGCTGCCGGACCTGTTAGAGAACTTTACCATATAAAGGGGGGAAGCTGCCGGACCTGTTAGAGAACTTTACCATATAAAGGGGGGAAGCTGCCGGACCTGTTAGAGAACTTTACCATATAAAGGGGGGAAGCTGCCGGACCTGTTAGAGAACTTTACCATATAAAGGGGGAAAGCTGCCGGACCTGTTAGAGAACTTTACCATATAAAGGGGGGAAGCTGCCGGACCTGTTAGAGAACTTTACCATATAAAGGGGGGAAGCTGCCGGACCTGTTAGAGAACTTTACCATATAAAGGGGGGAAGCTGCCGGACCTGTTAGAGAACTTTACCATATAAAGGGGGAAAGCTGCCGGACCTGTTAGAGAACTTTACCATATAAAGGGGGGAAGCTGCCGGACCTGTTAGAGAACTTTACCATACCTGGGGTGCACAGCTGCCGAACCCAGCCATTGCCATGTTCTGGCCGAACGTGATGCAGGGACAGCTGTGAGGGAGGGATGGTATGGGGCAGCAATAAAAGGAGAAGAAGAAAGTATGGCTGAGACAAAATCCCGCATGGCCATGCTCTCTTTACCAATTAATTCGATCCAGCTATTTCTATGTTTCGCCAGAATGAGGTACATAGACGACTTTTGAGGCGCCTCGAAAATCCCGCATGGCCATGCTCTCTTTACCAACTGATTCGATCCAGCTATTTCTATGTTCCGCCCGCCAGAAAGAGGTGCATGGGCAGTTGCAAGGGAGGGGTGGGATGGGAGACACGAGGTGGTGAGGAGGCAGACTGGGATATCTGAAGAACACTCACTCATGCGTGACTTTTGGGAATTCTCAAAAATGGGAGACACGAGGGCGGATTGGGACCAGGCCTGTCGTAGTGTATTGGGCCAGAACTTGGAGCCCTTTTGAGTCGACTCAAAAGTCACCTCAGAACTTGGAGCCCTTTTGAGTCGACTCAAAAGTCACCTCAGAACTTGGAGCCCTTTTGAGTCGACTCAAAAGTCACCTCAGAACTTGGAGCCCTTTTGAGTCGACTCAAAAGTCACCTCAGAACTTGGAGCCCTTTTGAGTCGACTCAAAAGTCACCTCAGAACTTGGAGCCCTTTTGAGTCGACTCAAAAGTCACCTCAGAACTTGGAGTCCTCAGCTGCTCCAACTCTTGCCCGTATTTTCACGGGCGTAGGCCAAAGCCAGAACTTGAAATCCGGGCTCTCAAAGAGAGTGTCCTTGAGGCTAGCGAAAAGATACTAAGTTCAGGTGTTAGCCTAATGTAATCGAGCGTACACTCGTCTGTTAAGGGAAAGAGTGAAAGAGTGCCTGTCGCCACTGCTCCCACACCACACCTGGCACTTTTTCGTGAGCACGACGGGGGGGTTCAGGGCGGGGGACAGGGGGTGGGGGGTCCTTCAAATCAGATTCAATATTTGAACTCAGGGTAAGAGTCAAATGGCGCCCTTAACCATCACGGGCTCCATGCGAATCAAGAACTTTAAGTGGTCGTGGTGCACTGAACCTAGCCCGAAATATTCAGGGCATTAAGGGCAAATGCCCTTACTTCGTAAGCCCTGATCGGGACATATGAAGAGCACTCGTGCGTGGAGGGCACTCACTCATGCGTGGAGGGCACTCACTCATGCGTGGAGGGCACTCACTCATGCGTGGAGGGCACTCACTCATGCGTGGAGGGCACTCACTCTCCCACATGCACTTCACCAATCCCCCCCCTCTCATCCCCTTACAGAGAGCACACTGAGAGAACTCACCAGATGGTCTGAGTCGCAACAGACGAGTCATCAAAACAGTCACACAGCTCCCCTTCCCACATGCGCTCCACGGCCCCCCCTCCTCCCCTCTCAAACCCCACCTCTCCACCAATCCCAGCTCCCAACCCTCCATCAAAATCCACCGCACAGATCCCAAACCCTAAATCCAGACCGTCCAATTCTGGGCCCTCCCCCGCTCTCCGCCTAATCCCGTCCTCCAGCGCTCCTGTACCCGTTATAGAGCTCCACGCGCCTGTCCCACTCCCTTGCTCCCCCCCAACATCCCTCACAGCCACTGCTTCGTCCATTAACGGGCCTGCCCCCACCACCGTCCGCTCAACCGCTCCTAACCGCTCCCTACCGCTCTCCCAGCTATCCCTGCTCGCATCACTGTGGCGAACCCACTCTGAAAACGTGACTCGACGCCCGCTGCTGCTGCCGCCACCGCTGCTGTTGGCGCTGCCGCTGGCAGTGCTTCTGGTGCTGCCTGCTGCTGTTTCTGCTGCAGCTGATGCCGCATCTTCTGCTGCTGAGGCGTCCAAAGGGAGGGAGTGTGAACGAGCTGGGCTGGGGGTGGATAGAGAGACAGAGGAGGGGTCCTCCTCGGGTATTGGTTGCAGCAAGTGCGTGTGAGAGTGAGGGTGCGAGTGAGGGTTGTAGTGTGAGTGAGGGTTGGAGTGCGAGAGAGGGTTAGAATGTGAATGAGGGGTGGAGTGTGAGGGAGGGTTAGGATGTGAGGGAGGAAGGACGGATGGAGGGGGAGTGGGTTGGCTGGGTGAGAAGGCTAGTAGGTTGGTTCGGCCGAGCACCTGGGCATGGCCTGGGAGCCTCGGGATTGACTGTTGGCGATTCTGCGGATTCTCTGCTGACGTGGATGCGGATGAGGAGGAGGAGGAGGCGGCGGAGGCGGAGGAGGGGGAGGAGGAGGAGGAGGAGGAGGAGGAGGAGGAGGAGGAGGAGGAGGAGGAGGAGGAGGAGGAGGAGGAGGAGGAGGAGGAGGAGGAGGAGGAGGAGGAGGAGGAGGAGGAGGAGGAGGAGGAGGAGGAACCTTCCATTCGGCTACTTCTGGAGGCAGTTCGACTTATGCACAGTACTGATCAATTTCCGCTTGTTCTTGTAACAGGAAATGATATATCTTGACAGCCGCGAAACTTCGCAAAAGTTCGCCGCGAATCACTCGCTGCGAAAGAAGCAGTTGAAGGACGAGAACAAAGATCGATTCGCTATGAACTAATAGCCTGGATTTCCCTTTAGGGACGTGATTCGGAATTGTTTAGAATACCAACGTCAACTCGGCAGAAAACAACCAGGCATTTTGTGATTCTCACGGGATTCGACGGAAGTGAGGAGCTAGTAAGCACGCCGAATTCGACCGAATGAGGGGTTACGCGCGACGAATGTTACGGCTTGAGGCAGCGCGACCCGACTGCGGCTGGATCGGTTCCGGCAAACTGAAACCACTGGAACGAATGTCTGGCTTAGGGAGGTTCTAGCTGGACGAGAATGGGAGAATCTGAAAAAGAATGTCGATCCGTGCTCACAGTCGGCAGCGCATTGAAGGTGCTGGGGGGGGAGGGATGTGTGGTGAGAGAGTGGAGGGGGGGGTTAAAGCGAAGCGACAATCCCTAGGAGGCTGCCCAAACCCACTGACTGGTGTCAGAAGAAAGAAAACGTTTTTCTTTCGTCGTTCATAGGTTGGTTGGAATCTCCTAATGTAAGGAATTGCAGTTCGTTACTGTACTCGCACTTCAGCGAGTACATTACGAGGGTCACGCGTCAGTTCGGTTCGGCCTGATTTGTCGCCCCAAACCACTCCCGAATCGCCCCCGCACCAACCGCAACCCCTCCAAACCATCTCTGCCCGACGTTCCCGCCTAGCTAGGAATCACTTTATTTAGTCGCGCCACTTTCATTGTATCGTCATTCAATTAGTCACAGCCTCCGTTATTAGATGTTAGCGTAACGAGGTATTCAAAATAGTGTACACACAGAGAAGTGACGCCATCACGAATTTCAAATCATTTCCTGGAAGTACCGCAGCATTAATAACCTTTCAAGAAGCCGCACATGGTGGATCTAACCAGACCAGACGCGCACTGTCGAGGTTCCTATCTTGACGTACTTGATAAGTTGGTAGCCGCATCTGAAGAATGTGGTTTGTCGAGGAGCGATCGTCGTTGATTTAACATGATATAGCTCAGCCGACGAATCCCCCCGCCCGTTTTCGCCGCACAGAACCGACAGGTTCCCATTTCAGCTCGCCGACCGACCGCCGGAAAGTGTCTGGCAAACTGGGGCACGGAGCCCTAGGGAACGCCGAACGACCGTCGACACTCCGGTGGGCTGAGACAAACCCACAGGGTATATCTCAACGCGTGGCGAGTTGCCAGCAGGACACGTCGCCCGCGGATGTCCGACGCGCGGTGGGTTACGGACGACCTAGATCTCGCCCGACCCCCCACGAACGTCTTCGTACAGACTGGCGTCCACGCGTCACCCGCGCACGGCTTGATCGTGGCGCGGGAAACAGGCAGAGCGACGTGACAATGTCGGTGCATGACACGCGGCCTCCATCGGCGCCACAGGGTAAGTCCAGGTGGAAGAAATCGGCGGTTACCTGTTGCGCTGAGGTGGAACACTGATGGAAGAACATGTCGGCGCCGTACACGCGGCGTGCATCGACCGGCCAGGCCGGGTCCAGGTGTCAAGCATCGGCGGCCTGGCACATGCACAAGAAACTTGCGTGAGGGCAGAGTCATATCGGCGCCGGGCTCGCGGCATTCATCGACCGGCGAGGCCGGGTCTGTGTGATCGACGCCGGCGGGCTCGTGCGTGCTCGAACATCGGCAGCACATAAGTTAGGCGGGAAACTGAACCAACGGTATCCGCAAAGTCGGCGTGTAAATAGCCGGACGAACCAATCAACGGCGGCGGCATTGAGCCTTGAAAAAAACGACGGGACCACCGCTCGGCGCGCCTCGTAGCTCTGCCGTGGCATGCCCTTTGAAACACCTCTAAGGGCGGCGTTGAAGTGGACATGCGAGAGTCGTGGCACGTCAGATAACGCGCCGCCTGGCGTGGACCGCGGCATGCATGCCAAGTGTGCAGATATTTGCCCTCGAAGTGGCAAGTGCCGAGCCGCGCAGGTCCACTACCTCTCCGCAACCAAGCTGCCACTAGTCATTTTCCCATCCTCGTTCCACCATCACTTCCAGCGCTCTCACACTTAGTTTTTTTTCCAGGACCGACTTCGCGGGGAACCCCGCGGCTGCGGCGTCACACGCCGACCACGAGGTGAGACCGATTTTGGGGCTTCTGGGTGTCGGTTTAGAGACTGCTTAGCTTGGTCGTCGCTGTAGCCGTATTCAGAGTCTCGTCGCCCAGTGTAGACTGCAGTGCAGTGAGGAACAAACGGCCAGATAGTTCGCTCGGACGTCGGCTTTGATTGATCATATAAGCATCCATGCAGAAAGGGCCCTGACACCGTGGTACGTGGTCGGCGTGACATGGCCGGCGAACAACCTAGTGCAACGCCGCCGGAAACCAACCCACCTGAGTGTGACATCGCCGTGCAGTTGGCGCAAGCTTCGCTCGCCGCCCGGTTAGAGACAGCCACTAGGGTCACTAGGTCACTAGAAGCGAACACGGCGCAGCGACAGTACGCCGCCACCGTTACCCATTACCGCCATTATACGTCGACCCGAGGACCAACTCGTCGCCTCGCCCTCAGTAGACCACGGAGCGGTGTTAGGACATTCGGGCGAGGCCAACATGTCGGACTACGTTCCGCTGGCAGCCCAGGCGGCGGTGAACCTGACAGGTGACACCACCACGCCGACCGGCGTGCGCCCCACCACCATTCCGACAGTGACGCTGCGTTTGATTTACGATCTAGACGCACTAGCAAAGATTCCCGTCAACCCGGACATTCCGCCTCCACCAGTAGGGGACTACCAAAAGCGCGGCCCTAGCCAGCCGAGGGAGCAGGAGGAGTCTTCATCTAGCGAAGACGAGGACGAACCCCAGCCCAGTCCAGGGCCTAGACGCCAACGTCGGCCGCTCACTCGCGCCGAGAGGGATCGAAGAGAGATAGAGGAAGCGTTGGCCGAGGACGAGGATGAGGACAGGCTGCACGCCAGCGTCCCGCGAGGAGAGTTTACGGCGGCAGGGTTTGTCGTCGAGGATCTGAGGAACAGCGACATGGAAGTGCTGATAGCCAATGCCCTTCGCCACACGGAGACGCTCGAGGAAGGGTCGTCACTCCGGCAGTACATATCGTGGATTCTAGACTACAAGCGATGGGAAGTGGATTCGCTACTGGCAGAAGGCGACGACCTGGAGCCGGGGTCCATACTCACTGACAAGGACGAAATCGGCAAGCATATCGGCGATGATTTGGGCAATAATTGGCCCCACGCCAGTTCATCTGGTTGCACGGCCCGAAGACCAACGAGCCACGAATTCGCGCTTACGTCTTGTTCCGAGCGCGAGAGACCCTCATCGAGGCAATGAAGAGCGAAGAGGGCAACACCGCCATGCGCACGCAGCCGATCAAACCTTGCACGGTCAACATGCTACTCGGCCGCATCAAAGCCCTACAGATGGCTGCCAAGATAGAGGCGACCCTGTGCAAGGAGAAGGAGCTTCACATCATGCAGGACATCTCGGTCGTCCGCATGGAAGTGCAGGTCATGATTCGCGCAAAGAACAAAGCCGACAACAAGTAAGAAACCCGTCGCCGACTTTGCCGCTCCTCTCTAATTATCCATCCTATGCTCTTTGACGCCGCTCACAATCCATCATCACCTTCACCCTCCCCTCGTGTGCAGAAAATACGTTGACCGACATCGCGGAACCATAGGCGACACCTACACCACCGAGCAGTTCCGCAAAATCATGTTCAGGGTCTTGCCGCACTGGTCGGCGTCGGCGTGGAATCCGCAGGGGACAGGTCCTTCACAGACTCTGTGGAAGTTCATGCTGATGAGAACGATGACCCTGCTGTCGCACCACACCCTGCTCCGCGGTGCCAGCGTACGCGAGATAACCCTCGCCGACATCTTCCTGTACCGCCTTGCTAGCGGGTCGTCGGTGAACCCCAACAACCGGCCAATGGTCATGGTCATCGCGCAGCGCAACTCCAAGACGTGCAAGGACGCCCGTCTCCATCACAGCTACGCGGCGAGGCACTTAGAGGCGGAACTGTGTGCGGTGGGCGACACCGTCCTCTGGCTGCACTTCATCTACGACCAGGTCCCCCAGATCTTCGGCGTCCGCATAATCCCGCCGCTAGACGTACGCCGACCGGAGCTATGGTACAACAAGCATCTGTTCTTCGCCCGCTATGATAAGGATCAGGGGTTGCTGCCGTCGTCGAGTCAGCAACGAATCACGCGGCAGCTGTGGACGGCGAACAAGGTTTTTATCAAGCGCGACGTCCACGCCGCTCGCGCCGACGGGGCTCAAGAGCTGGCGGATCAAGGCACGCCGTGCGCCGAGATATCCAACTGGGCCACTGGGCTATTGACAAGATGACGAGGAGTTACATCACGTCAATTCCCGTCGGGGTGGTGATGAGGAAGGCCGGCTACTCCGGAGCCCGAAGCGACTACTTCCTGGGCCGCAACAGGCTGGATCCCGGCCCAGACCTCGAGAAAACGATCGCCGCGCATATCTTTCCCGGCGTCGAGGATCAGTTGGGGGCGGTGAGTATAGCGACGCCGTCATCATGCATCTTAACGTCGTGCTTCACGGATTCACACCGATTTCCCTCTCTTACGTGCAGGCGGAAGAGCTAGCACAAGGGCCAGAGGCGAACACGGCCGCCGTGCACTTCATCCAGACCATGCTGGATGCACGCCGCATTGCGGCCGAGGACCTCGCGGTGAAACTGGTCCGCACTCCTTGGCACCCTCAGGTCCAGGCTTCGAGGCTTTGTCGGGATCGCGGCTTCCAGGCGTGGGCACAAGACATCGAGAAGATTGACACCGAGACGATCGCCAAGCGCCGGTCGCCGATCCCGACGCAGCCAGCTGTAAGCACAAGTTGAATTCCGCGTGAGCTACGGCAGGCGTGCTTGCATCACCGGACTCCTAACCCGCTCCGCTGCTGTTTGCAGGAAATCACAGCCCGCCTGGACGCCAAATTTCAGGTCTACCTTCTGAACGAGACGCTGGCCCACGAGAGGCACAAAGCGACGCTCAAGCAGATGAAGGTGGAAAAGGAGCTCGAGGAGACGCGTGCTGCTATCGCGGCGAGAGACGCCGAGATTGCCCGGCTGATGGAGGAGCTTAAGATCTCCGAGGCAAGGAGGGCGCCGCCACCGGCGCCTACCAGGCCGACGACCCAGGAAGAGGAGGCAGCTGCGGCCGCTAAGCAGGCTCAGACGGACGCTGACGCCCGCTGGTCCTGGTTGTCGACCCGTGGAGAAAGGCCGAGACTGTGGCCGAGGCCTGGCGCTTCTGGAACTGCCCCACCACCACGGACAGCCGGCGTCTCTGCGACAGGATCAACGAGCCCGGTTTCAACGGCCGGCACAGCCTCCTGGGCAAGTCGTCGGCCAACGCAAAAACAGGGGGAGATGCGTCGAATGAGGAGGGCGATGGAGGCCGTGCGCCGCTTCCGCGCGTCAGACGGCGAAGCTGACACCGCCGCTGTCATAAAGAAACTCGACGAGATCGCTGCGTCGGGAATTGTGACATTCTGCGATGCTCTGAAGATCATCGACGCTGACGCGCAACCGATCCGCATGGAGGGGAACACCGGCATCAAGGGCCTTTCCAAGGGTGAAAAGCCCAAGCTGACGGTTGCGTGGGGTCTGGTGGCGGCGGGATACATGACGCCCAAGTGGGGCGAGGACATGTTCCCGACCACGTGGGAAGAGCAGAAAGTTGTTGCGGCCAAGGCGGCCGCGGGGCAGGGCGCTGGAGGACCGGCGCCGCCACCGCCGACGAAGACGTCCAAGCGTCGGAAGCCGGGATGATGTTTTCGGGGGGGGGGGGGGGGGTTGTCGCCGCTTAACTACTTTCTTTCAGCTCGATTGTGACTTTTGTTTTCGGCGTTGACTGTGCATTCTATGTTTTCGACTTTTCCTGTGCATTCCATGTTTGGGATATTGACAACAGAACCGAAATCATGACGGCGGTTCATGAACAGCAATTCAACCTACGTGATAGAAACACTGCAAAAGTGCACATTAAAAGTCGGCGCCCACCCAAACCCCACAATCCATCCACGATACAGCTACACATTGCGACGTTGGTGCAGAACACAACGACTGAGACAACAACAAAATCCATCTACGCAGCGTGCTTCCCCTTCTGTCCCTTCTTTCCCCTGTTATCCATATCCTTCTCCATCCTCTTGTCCAGCGGCACTTCAATGCCGCGTGCTCGGAGAAGGGGGCCGCCGGCGTTGCACGACCCCTAGAAAGCGAGGGTCTCGATAGTCGCCCTCGCGATAATCTCGGCGTCGGGTGTGGGGTCACCGCCCTTGTACGCCTTCCGAAGAGCATCCCTCTGCAGTGTGTCGGTGACGTTGCACGGAACCTCTCCCAGGACGGGCTGTCTCGCAACCGCCACCGCCGTTGCAAGCACCGCAATCACGACGTCGTGACATGTGTCAGCAAAGTCGGTGCTCGCTTTACACAGCAGTGCCGCCGCCTTCGCTTCACCCGCCGCTTTTCCGACCTCGGCCACGGTCTCGGCGAAGCACCAGACGGCGCAAGATGAAGCAGCAACAGCTTGGCCTAGGCGCGAAGTGCCGGCACCAGTTTTGGGGACGGCATCTGCCGCGACTGGCCCGAACGCCGCGCACAAAGAAGCGCGGTTGATGATGTCGCTTAGCTGCTGCTTGCGCTTGGCCGGATCCCAAACAGGGCCGAACCACACCGCCGGCCTCAGCACTTTCATCAGGGGAGGCCCAGATGACTTCTTCTGTTTGAAGTCGGCGAGGACTTTCTGAAACATGTCACACACGACGTTGGAACGAAAACGTGGTTAGCCAGCTTAAAACCCGGCAGTCAAACCTCTACCACGCCGCGCAAAGCACATCGACTCCCCCGATTCTTACCGTGCACGAAACATCGTGGCGCCGCAGGACCACATCACCGTCCACATACCCTTCGGCATCACCTTCGCCTCCTCCCACTCCGCCTTCCACCGCGCCATGTCTTCAGCTTTAACGCCGGTCATTTCGGCCAACAGGACTTGGCTCGCGTGTCCGTCGAAGATGGTCGTCGCAACGCCGTTGAGGTACGCCACTTCCATCCTGTCGTCCGATCTGCCCGTGTAGCGACTCTTACCAGCCAGGTTTACCTCGCCCTGCCACCCGCCACCGCTCGTCCTGTCCAGCCTAATTCCATGCCCCCTGCGATCTTTCGGAACGAAGGCCTTCTGCGACGCGGCGGCTTTACCCTTCCGTTTCTTCTTTTTTTTCGCCGACGCCTGCCGCACGCTCGGATTGTCCATCCTTGTCGGCGTGTACACCCACTGGTCCACCGGCCAGAACGGTGGACGTTCCCGCCTGACTCGCCGGGTCTGCGACAGTGACGCCTGCCGACCTGGCCGAAGGCCCTGCCTGGCTGGCCTGAGTAGCCACTGGAACTGCGGTGGGCCGAGCGAACGGTCCCGCCAGACCAGCCTGGTCAGCACCGGTGACGCTGGTCGCGCCGGTCTGGAAGGCCGGTATGGACGGACCAGGCTGGCCGGCAACACTGACGCCGGCCAACCGGGCCGACTGCACGGTCTTCCCGGCCTGGGTGGACGCTGGGTGGACGTTGTAACACCGGCAGGCCGACCCTCCACGCCGAGGATGCCCGACAGGCTGAAGTGCGGCAAGGTCGTCTGCTTCCAACGCCGCTTGTAACAATTCCACATCGGCATCCTCGATAACAAGAGGGATCTCCCCCGCACCATCGTCTCCTGCCACCGCGCCCCAATCACCTTGTCCGGACGCTGCGCCGACCTGATGATGCGCTGGAACCGTCTCGTTTGGCGCTTCCTGGTGTACGGGCTCCCCCAAGTTCACCGTGGTCAGCGCAGCGCGCTGGCCGTGAGTCTGCGGTTGAGCTGACTGTGCAGCTGCTTGGAGCGAGAAGACCTCGGCCATCAGCATGTCCGAGACTGGGTCCGACGGCGTGGCCACGGCGCCGGGGAGCTGCGTGGTCGGCGCAGCGCTTGCGACAGATGTTGGCGGATGCGATGAAGGTGCTGCCACTTGGCGCGCGTTGACCGCGGCCAGCACCGCGACAGGGTCCGAAGGGGTGTGGCCGGCGTTGTCTTGCCCCGTGGTCGGCGCAGCGACGGGCACAGTTGTCGGCCGGTTAGTAGATGGTGCTGCCGCGTGACGCGCGTTGTTATCGGCCGAGATCGGGGCTGTTGGTGCTGTACCGGCGACAGGTTGCGACCCACCGCGAGTTGTTGGGACGGCGCTGTTGTCGGTGGCGACGGGCTGCTGCTGCGATGGCGCCTGAAGAGCAAGTAGCTCCTCCATCAGCGCTCTCGCCACGGGATCATCCTCCACGCCGAGACCGCCCGTGTCGTCCTCCGCGCCAATGGCGCCCGTGTTCTCCCCCACGCCGACCATTTGAGTCTGCACGCCGATCGACGGAGCCTGAACTTCGAATACCGGCCCGCGTGGAATTACTATTGGAAGCAACACGGCGTTGGTACTTGTACCGGTCGCCGTGTGAATGGTCGGTAGCGCCGCGTCGGCCTGCACCCCAACAGCTCCAACTGAACCGCCGACATTGCCAATACCTGCATCGGTCCCCGGTTGGACGTCGGGTGTCGCCCCGTCGGCCTGCACTTCAACCGCTTCAACACTTACGGCGACGTTACCACGATCGGTCGGCGGTGGTGCAACCTCGCTTGCTCCAGAACGTGGAATCACCGGACCTTTCCTTCCACCGTCGTGAGTGGAAGACCCGCCGGGGCGGCAGTCCTGCCCTCCGAGCTGCCGCCGGCTCCGCCTCTACTCTGCGGAGCAAGGAGCCGAATTGTCGCCCCTTTTTTCTTCAGCATGTCGAGGACGGGAGAACCAGTCTGGGCACGATCTGGAACGTCGCCACCGACTGCTCGGTTCCCATCAACACCTTTACTCCGCTTCGAATTTCCGGCGTTGTCGTCGTCGGCTGCACTTCCGCTGCCAGCCCTTTTTTCCGGCCTTTGCCGTGGCGCCGTCTCCTGGTCGCCGGCCGACGGGGACGTGCCAAGCCGGCCCGGCCTCATTGTAGCAAGCACGTTGGGCGGAAGCGAGAAGCCGACGGTTCCCAGCGCCTGCTGCGTGACGGCGGTTACCGCCTGAACAATGTCGTCCCTCATTGCTTTGATGACTTCTTCGGGCAGCGCGGGGGATGGACTGGGTGGCGGGGGCGGCGCGTTGCTGCGGGCTATGCCGCCGACGATGTTGGTGGTGTTAAACTGTGTTATGTTGGTAGGCTGTAGTGGGGTAGCCAGTATGGGGTACAACCCCAACTAGGGTTTGCTACTTGTACCCAATTCTTCCATTCAATGACACATTCTTGCTTAGTCCTGTTGACATGGTATTCAGAGCAGGAGGTCCCTAGGACCTATCGACCGTTTCTTTTAAGGGCCCACCACCGCTCGCATGCGGTTACCACGCTACCCCGTGCCCTAGCCTCGTAGCGCCCTCGTGCGTCCTCGTTAGCGCCCTCGCGCGCCCTCGTTAGCGCCCTCGCGCGCCCTCGTTAGCGCCCTCGCGCGCCCCTCGTTAGCGCCCTCGCGCGCCCTCGCTAGCGCCCTCGAGCGCCCCTCGTTAGCGCCCTCGCGCGCCCCTCGCAGCGTCGCCCGCCCGCCGAGCCGCCTGCTCGCAGCGTCGCCCGCCCGCCACGCTGCCCGCTCGCCGCCCGCCCGCCGCGCTGCCTGCTCGCAGCGTCGCCCGCTCGCCCCGCTGCCCGCTTCGCAGCCCGCTCGCCCCGCTGCCCGCTTCGCAGCCCGCCCGCCCGCTCGCTGCCCGCTTCGCGGCCCGCCTGCTTCGCTGCCCGCTCGCAGCGTCGCCCGCCCGCCCGCTGCCCGCTTCGCAGCGTCGCCCGCCCGCCCGCTGCCCGCTTCGCAGCGTCGCCCGCTCGCTCGCTGCCCGCTCGCAGCGTCGCCCGCCCGCCCGCTGCCCGCTCGCAGCGTCGCCCTCCCGCCTCGCTGCCCGCTTGCAGCGTCGCCCGCCCGCCCGCTGCCCGCTTGCAGCGTCGCCCGCCCGCCCGCTGCCCGCTTCGCAGCCGCCCGCCGCGCTGCCCGCTCGCCGCGTCGCCCGCCCGCCCCGCTGCCCGCTTCGCAGCCCGCCCGCCGCACTTCCCGCCTGCAGCGCCGCCCGCCTCGCCTGCTGCTCCCTGCCTGTGCACCGCCGCTTGCTCCTGCTGTGGCTGCTAGCTTCGCTCTAGCGCGTCCCCTCTGCTGCTGCCGCTGCTCTGCTGTGCCCTCACGCCTGAGCTATGGCCTCTATTCGCGTTCTTTCCTTCGATGCTGAGGGCCGTCCCGTGCAGTTCACTTCCTGGCTCGACGACCTGCAGTTGTATCTTATGAGCAATAGCACGGACCACATCTCCCTCTATGACTACGCGTCTGGTGCTGCCGCTGCTCCTGCTGCCACAGCCGAGCTTAGTGTACGTTCACAGTGGCAGACTCGTGACGCTGCAGCTCGCCTGGCTATTCGCAGTCACCTGCCGTTAGCTGAGCTAGAGCACTTTGGCGACTGCAAAACCGCTAAAGCCCTATACGACGCTGTCGTTGCTCGCTACTCCTCACCTGCCACAGCCGAGCTTAGCCGTCTCATGCTGCCTTACCTGTTCCCTGACCTGTCCACCTTTGCTACAGTCGCCGATCTTATCACCCACCTTCGCACTAGTGATGCTCGCCTGCGTGCCGCCCTTCCCACCGAGTTCTGCGCTAAGAACCCCCCTCCCCTGTACTGGGCACTCCACTTCATAGTCACCCGTCTCCCTGACACCCTCAGCTCAGTGCGCGACTATTTCCTTGCTCGCTGTCCCACTGAGCTCACTGTCGCCCTCCTAGAGGAGAAGCTGCTAGCAGCCGAGAAGAGCATTGTAGCTGTAGGTGCTGCTCGCGGCGCTCCTCGCACCCCCATCTTTGAGGGGTGCTCTCCCTCTCCCCTCGCTCCCTCCTATGCTACTGCTGCTGCTGTTGACTTCCTTGGTGCTGAGTCTGCTGGCGCTGCTTCTGCTCCTGGTGGGAGGCGCCGCACCGGCAAGGGCAAGGGGGGCAAGGGTGGCGGGGGTGGCGCTGGGGGGGGAGGGGGTGGGGGAGGTGGGGGGGGAGGCGGTGCTGGAGGGAGCGGTGGCGGGAGTGCCGGTGGGAGTGGGGCCGGCGGCGGAGGCGGGGGCGGCGGCGGGAGCAGTGGCGGTGGTGGCGGCGGCGGCGGCAGTGGCGGCGGTGGCGGTAGTGGCGGTGGCGGTGGCGGTGGTGGCGGTCGGAGCGGAGGTAGTGGCGGCGGTGGAGGTCGGAGTGGAGGCACCGGCTCGGGCCAGAGCTCCCAGCAGCAGCAGCGTCCCCAGTCGACCCAGCAGCTTCGTGAGTGGCTTGCTCAGCGTGGGACGTCGGGGGGCAGTGGCCGCTGTTCCTATGTCATTCGCACAGGTGATCGCAAGGGGCAGACGTGTGGAAAGTTCCACACTCAGTACCGCTGCTTCTTCCGCCTTGACGACGCTTGGCGTGAGGAGATGGGCGAGGATGTTGAGCGCCCTCGCTGGGCTGAGCTGATGAGGGCTGGTGTTGATATCTTTGCTCTTGACTATGATGCTATTATTGCTGCCATGTATGCATTGACTGTTAGTGCCGAGGGAGACTGTTACTTGTGTGTGCCGCCTGACCCAGGTATAGGGCCCGCTGCCCTAGGTACTAGTGAGTCTGCTCTCTCTGGTATGGTGCCCCCTGTACTTGCTCCCCCCAGTGCTGTCCTGGCTGGTTTCGAGTCTGCTCTCTCAGGTACAGCACCCACAGAGACTGCTCTCTCAGGTACTGCACCGGCTGAGGCCTGTCACACCTTCACCCTTGACTCAGGTGCTTCCCGTTGCTTCTTTCGAGACAGTACTGAGCTCACACCGCTTCCTGCACCGGTCCCAGTCTCCTTGGCTGACCCCTCTGGGGGCCCAGTCCTTGCCCAGTCCACCACTGTGCTCCCTTGTCCGGCGGTTCCGTCTGGCTCGTTGACGGGTTTCCACCTCCCCTCGTTCTCGACGAACCTGGTGAGCAACGCTGTCATCCAGGATCAGTGGGTTGACACCTTTACCCCTGGAGGACAGCGTGTGGCGATCTGCACGTGCTCCAGGACCGGCCGTCACCTGGCTACGTTTACTCGTCGGCCGGGGTCGAGTCTCTACACACTGACCACTGCGTCTCCTCAGGTCGCTGCTGTCGGTCAGGTGTCCGCGTCAGGTCTGGTGGCCCACGCCTGTGAGTGTCGTTCCCTGTCGCACCAGACTCTTCTCTGGCACCACCGCCTGGGTCACCCCTCCTTGCCACGCCTCCGTGGCATGCACCGTCGCCGCCTTGTGTCTGGTCTTCCCAGGTCCCTCCCTCCTCTCCCTTCCTCGCCTGCGCCGCCTTGCCTTCCTTGCGTCGAGGGGCGGCAGCGCGCCGCTCCTCACTCCTCCTCGTTCCCCCCGACAGGGGCTCCTCTGCAGACCCTCCACCTGGACGTGTGGGGCCCAGCCCGCGTTCGTGGCCAGGGCGGTGAGCGGTACTTTTTGCTGGTTGTCAACGACTACTCGCGTTACACCACGGTCTTCCCCTTGCGCACCAAGGGTGAGGTCCCTGCTGTTCTAATCCCTTGGATCCGCACAGTTCGTCTCCAGCTCCGCCGCCGTTTCCGGACGGATCTTCCTGTCCTGCGTCTGCACTCTGACAGAGGTGGTGAGTTTTCCTCCGACCTCTTGAGGACCTTCTGTCAGGCGGAGGGCATCGAGCAGACCTTCACGCTTCCGGACTCCCCACAGCAGAATGGGGTTGCTGAGCGCCGCATTGGCCTGGTCATGGAGGTCGCTCGTACCTCCTTGGTCCACGCGGCGGCTCCCCATTTTCTGTGGCCGTTTGCTGTCCGGTACGCCGCGCATCAGCTCAACCTCTGGCCCCGTGTCTCCTTGCCGGAGACCTCGCCCACACTGCGTTGGACGGGGGAGGTTGGCGATGCGTCGCGCTTCCGGGTGTGGGGTGCTCGTGCCCTTGTCCGCGATGCGTCCGCGGACAAGCTCTCCTCCAGTACGCTTCCCTGTGTCTTCCTTGGCTTTGTCCCTGACGCGCCGGGCTGGCAGTTTTACCACCCCACCTCGCGCCGGGTCTTCGCCTCTCAGGACGTCACCTTTGACGAGTCGGTCCCTTTTTACCGTCTCTTCCCCTACCGTACTGCCCCCCTCCCTCCCCCGCCGCTTTTCCTTGCTCCTGGTCCCCCTCCGGTAGACCCCCTTCCCCCTCAGGGTCCTGCTCCTTCAGGTGTCTCTCAGGTAGACCCTCCTCCCGTCGCTGAGCCTGTCGAGGTCACAGGTGACTCAGGTGCTGCTGCAGGTGGTGCTGCTGGGAGTGCTGAGCCTGCGGGTGCTGGGCCTGGGGGTGCTGGGACTACGGGTGCTGGAGCTGAGGGTACTGTGCCTGAGAGTTCGGCGCCTGGGGGTGCTGAGCCTGGGGGTGCTGCGACTGGGGGTGCTGAGCCGGCGTGTGCGGAGTCTGGGGGTGCTGAGTCTGGGGGTGCTGCGCCTGCGGGTACTGAGCCTGGGGGTGCTGCTACTGAGCCTACGGAGCCTCGGGTTGCTGCGTCTGGGGGTGCTCCGGTTCGGGGTGCTGAGCAGTCTCTCACACCACAGCAGCTTCGTGACTGGTACGTCCGGCGCTTTCGCCGTCCTAGTGGCTCGGCTGGAGCTGGGGGTACTGGAGCTGCCGGGACTGGTTGTTCTGGGAGCACTACGACTGGAGCTGCTGGAGCTGGGGACTCTGGAGCTGGCGGCGCTAGCGGAGTTGTAGCTGCCGACTCTGGGGGTGCTCTTCCTTGTGGTGCTGCGGACCCTGGGGGTGGTGCTGCTGCTGGTGCTGCGGACCCACCTGGTGGAGCTGCTGCTGGAGCTGAGGACCCGAGCGGTGGCGCTGCTGCTGGTGCTGGGGACCCGGACGCTGGAGTCTCTTCTGCTTCTGGAGACGCTGCGCGGCCGCGGCCGTACTTCGTACCGCTCCTTCAGCAGGTTCTTGGGCAGGCTCCTCCTCCTTGTCCTCCTCCCTCCGTAGAGTGTCCTCCGACTGTCCAGCCGCAGTCACAGTTACCGCCTGCCTCGCCTCTCCCTGCTCCCTCTCCTTACACTGGTCCCACAGGAGGTCTTACAGAGCGTCGTGAGCCTGAGTCTCGTCCTGCGTCGCCTGTCCGTACTGCTCGCACTGGTCGTCGTGTCCGTCGTGAGCGTCCTCCTCCTGTCCCAGGCACTCACTACATGACTCTGCGTCCCTCTACTGCTCCTCAGCGTGTCCCTCTGCCGTCTCCTCCTGCGTCCTCTTTGCCTGCTGTTCCGGACCCTGAGTCTGACCGGTATCGTGCTGAGCACCCTACTGTCACGCGTCTCCTAGTTGTCACCCTACTGTTGTCACTGACCCTACCTTTGAGTCCTCAGCTGCGTCTGCTCTGGTCGCTGAGTTGGTTGACTTTGCTGCTACTTGTTGTCTAAACTACGCTGCTCGCCTTGTTGCTGGGTCTGAGTCTGCGTCTGTCTGTCCTCCGTCCGTCGGGGGTGAGTGTGCTCTTGGCACGGACGTCCTTGAGGACAGGCAGGAGGACTTTGACTCTCTCGCGGCTGCTGTACCTCATCTCGTGGCCTGGTTGCTTGCCCCTGAGGGAGACCCGGATGCACTAGACATCCCCACTCCGCGCACTTACGCAGAGGCGATCTCGGGTCCCTACTCCTCTCAGTGGCAGACAGCCATGGACGCAGAGATGGCATCCTGGAAGTCCACAGGCACCTACGTCGACGAGGTTCCCCCTCCTGGGGCGAACATCGTCGATGGCATGTGGATTTTCAGGGTGAAGCGGCCGCCAGGTTCTCCGCCTGTCTTCAAGGCTCGTTACGTTGCTAGAGGCTTCAGTCAGCGTCAGGGGGTCGACTTCTTCCAGACCTTCTCCCCCACCCCGAAGATGACCACTCTTCGGGTTCTGCTGCACGTTGCTGCTCAGCGTGACTACGAGCTTCACTCTCTTGACTTCAGCACAGCGTTCCTGCAGGGCAGCCTGCACGAGGAGATCTGGCTGCGCCGCCCACCTGGCTTTACTGGGTCGTTTCCTCCTGGTACCCAGTGGAGCCTCCGCCGGCCAGTCTACGGTCTCCGCCAGGCGCCACGCGAGTGGCACGACACACTGAGGACTACACTTGCGGCTCTTGGGTTCGCGCCGTCTACTGCTGACCCGTCGCTGTTTCTGCGCACAGACACGTCGCTGCCGCCGTTCTACATTCTCGTGTACGTCGACGACTTGGTCTTTGCTACTGCTGACACTGAGGCACTCGCTCGTGTGAAGTCGGAGCTGCAGAAGAGACACACCTGCACTGACCTGGGTGAGCTGCGTAGCTACCTTGGCTTGCAGATCACCCGGGACAGAGCTCGCCGCACCATCACCCTGACTCAGTCACACATGGTGCAGCAGGTCCTTCAGCGCTTCGGCTTCCAGTTCTCCTCACCACAGGCCACACCTCTGGCTACCAGCCACTCGCTCTCAGCTCCACCTCCGGACGAGTCCGTAGAGCCGAGTGGCCCGTACCCAGAGCTTGTGGGCTGCCTCATGTACCTGATGACTTGCACGCGACCTGACCTCGCGTACCCTCTTAGCATCCTTGCTCGTTACGTTGCGCCTGGGAGACACAGGCGAGAGCACTGGGAGGCTGCTAAGAGGGTGCTGCGCTACTTGTGCAGTACATCAGGCATGGGGCTGGTGCTTGGAGGACGCGACAGAGTTGTCCTCACTGGCCACTCGGACGCTTCTTGGGTGGACGACCTGGCTACGCAGCGGTCGTCACAGGGTTACACCTTCAGCCTTGGCTCTGGTTCTGTCTCGTGGCGGTCCACCCGCTCTTCTTCTGTTCTCGGCTCTAGTTGTGAGGCTGAGATCTACGCCACAGCCATGGCTGCCCAGGAGTTACGCTGGCTCACCTACCTGCTGACTGACTTGGGAGAGCGGCCTAGTTCTCCTCCAGTTCTGTACGGTGACAACAAGGCGGCCCTTGCCTTGTGTCAGGAGCACAGACTGGAGCACAGGACGAAGCACATTGCTCTTCGCTACTTTCTTGCTCGAGAGCTGCAGCAGCGAGGTCAGCTTCGGCTTGTGTACGTGGACTCGAAGGCCAACACTGCTGATATCTTCACCAAGGCGCTCCCGCCTAGTGATCATCAGCGGCACTGTACTTCCTTAGGCCTTGTGTCCACATTCCCTCATTTGCTTACTGCTTGACTTTCTTTGTACTGTCCTTTATATATATCTCGTTGCTTGCTTGCTAGGTCTTGATCACTGTGTTGCTTGTCTTGTACTATATCTAGCACTGCATGTGAACTGGCCTTGTGGCCTTTGCTTGTGCTCGGAGTGTGGTGACGTTGTGATCCACCCTGGGCTTGCTTTGCTTTGCTAGACTGGTCTTGTGACCCTTTGTTCTCCCCCACTTTGCCTATGGGGGTGTGTTAAACTGTGTTATGTTGGTAGGCTGTAGTGGGGTAGCCTGTATGGGGTACAACCCCAACTAGGGTTTGCTACTTGTACCCAATTCTTCCATTCAATGACACATTCTTGCTTAGTCCTGTTGACAGGTGGAAGCTGCTGCTAACTTGGTCTGGATGTAATCGGCTAACACCGCCTTCACGTTCTCCCCCACGCTGGTCATGTGGTTCCCCAACCGCACGTCGGCATCAAAGCGGGCGACTGTCAGCTTCTCCAAGCCCGATCTGATTTCTCCCATCAACGGCGTCGCCATGCTGCTGCACGTGTTGACCAGAGCCACCCGATCGTCCAGCACCTTGGTGAAGACGCCGGTCATGGCCGCTGTGGCTTTGGAGATGTGTGTCCCCGCGGTCTGTTCGGCGGCGTCGACGCGTTCGGTCAGCGACTTGACAGCCGCGAGGCATTCAGCCGCAGTCGCCAACAACCCCTCCTTCCGACCCCTCTCGGCAACCAGCTCCGACCGCAATCCTGCATTCTCGTCTCTGAGTTTCCTGTTCTCCTCTTCCAGTCGCTTCACGCGATCAAGCGCGGCTGCCGACGCCGACTTGGCTGACGCGCTCGATGCCAGATGACCATGCGCCTGCACCTTCTTATGATCCTGCCCCCCCCCTTCATTGCATGCCGACGCCACATTTACGCCGGCACCGCCGGTCGACATCAGGGCACGGCCAGCACCCGCTTCGGCGAGATTCGTCACGACGGCAGGCTCGCCACGGTCCTGCACGTCCAATACCAAAACACCGGCCTCGGTCTCCACCTCTTCGCCATGAGCCGCCTTGTCCGCCGCTGCCTCCTCCTCCTCCTCCTCCTCCTCCTCCTCCTCCTCCTCCTCCTCGGAGGAGGAGGAGCCTGAGGAGGACCCAGTATCGGAATCTGCGGCCGACCGGTCAGACACATCTACTGACTCCTCATCGGACCCTGCCCTCCGCTCCTCTCCTCCAACCAAGTCGGCCACATCACCGCCGCCATCATGCCCCCTTGTTCTAATGTCGTGCGCGCCAGAATCCGCCGGGCGAGTCACGGCCGCCTTTGTTTCGACCCCGTCGTCGTCCAGGGGGGAGGTACTCGGCCCTACAGGATGATTGGCCGGCGCCGCCCGCCGCTCAACGACGCATCTCTTGACGTAATCCACCAGCACCGACTTGAGTGCCTTCAACCCCTGCGACCTCGGGTTTTCAGCAGTCGCCGGTGCACGTGACTTGAGCAGGGTTTCACACTCTCTGACCACCCAACCGAACGCGCTCACTGCATGCAAGCCGGTGCCGACTTGCTCATTCTTAACAATGTCCGGCAACCTCTGCGCACAACCGATGCAAGGGCAGGCGAGGTGAGCCGAGGGTGTGCCAGCGTAAACACGGTTAAACGCCCAAATCAAGGTGGCTACTATGCCAACAAAAAACTCACGTCGCGCGTGGGACCGTCGCAGCCGGCGAGTCGTGCCGTCACGACATCGGCCGAGGGAGGCGCCCACTGCCAGGTCCTGTCGATTTGTCCAAGCTCGGCCAGAACACACCGGCGAAAGAAACTGCAACAGCAGGGCATAGGAAAGAGAATGAGCAAGCCGGCGAAAACTCCTTAACGAGGTAAACCCGACCAACATACGCACGCTTACCTCAACACGGCTAGCGCCTCAGAGAAATGCAGGCGATTTGCCGTCTTAGGGTCCAAGTGGCGGAACGAGGTGCGGCTCTCGACACCGGCGTCCATCAGCAAGTCGCCGGGACGAAGAACCACGACGACGCTGCAGTGCACGCCGGGAAGCGGCCCGATCCTGCACATGAAAAAGTATAACGCCGCTTTCAAACACCGAGGTCAAACGAGACGACCATGAAACATGTTGCAAACTCACGACGTGATAATCGGTAGGACGGCCATGTCGGCGTCAAACACCGACGCAAAGCATGTGAGGTCATTTTTCTTCATCGCGTCACGAAGACGGTTGCACCCAATGATCCACGGCTTCAATTCCGGCGGTGCGTCGTGAAGCCACATGTACCTGCAAAGACCGAAGGGTGGAGGGGACGTGTGAGCAGTAGTCCTTCCGTACAGCGAACTCGAGGCCGGCGAAAGTGATGGCTGACGTAGTCAGAGGCCTTACAGGCCGACTTGGATGCGCAGCGCGACGACGTGATAGCGACGACAAACAACCCTACTGTTCTCAGTCGCCGCGAAAGCTATAACGTTCTGCTGGCGGCAAACCGTCGGAACTGCTTACTACCCCTACGCCGACTACCTAGCACCCCACAAGCCGGCCAGCCGGTGACATATACACCGACGAATCTTACAGCGACGGCGCCGTGAAAGGACGCACCAACGTCTCTAACACGCCGACTTCGACCACTGCCGACCAAACGTCGGTGCGAGCAAGGCTGACTACCGGTAACCTAGGCCTACGGCGAACATGGATGGACGGCGAGCAAAGCCAGGGATCGATCGCTGCCTCACGTGCCGACCTCGTCACGCGCTAATCACATCAACTAAGTTGGAAATCCAAGGGCTAAACGATACTAAGTCGGTGGAGAGACTCACTTGAGCGCGAGCGCGAAGCAAAGCTCGTTGAAGTCTTTCTTCGTCGAGCGCAGTACGGCGAAGTCCTTCTCGTTAAGCGTGAGAGTGAGGCCGCGGCCCATGTTGAAGTACAAGGGGAAGTCCTCCGATGACGGCGTCGGGTTAGCGGCGCCCGGCGTCGGGTGAGCGGCGCCACTATCTAACTCCATGATTGCAATGGCACGACACTACAGGCTAGTAGCAGGACGGAGGAAGGCGCAGAGCTAAAAAACGCGAAAGGCGAAATGGGAAGAGCAAAATGAGCCGTCGGTGACTCCATCCACAAAGATAAGGCACGACGGACGCAGACCAAAGGCAGACCGGCCCAGAGGCCTTTGTGGCTCGGAAAGAGGAAGACCTCGACCAATTGCATGAGAGTGAAAGGACGCCGAGCCAGCTCGGCTCCGTCACGTCCCCTCGCTCCCGTCGGCGTGGGGTCTGGTGGCATGCAGCGTCACACGGGCCTGACATGCAGCGTCGTCACTGGACAAACACGTGTCCTCACGCCAGCGGGTCGCGAAATTGTCGATGTTCCCGAGGGGGACACCCGAATTTCGCCAGGGCCTCGCCTGCCCGTCGGGGCAGCGCGAGAGGGTTTCTAGGTCGCGGGTAACAGGGCCACGGCGAGGGCTGCCTTCGCGCGAGGGTAACTTTCCCTCGCGCGAGGGGTCGCCAGTTCGCCGACCCCACCCGGTAACGTGGGGCGCTGTTGGAATTCGGAGTTGGGTTGAGGGGCGGCGGTCGTGCGCTCGGCCCAGCCCTGGGCCAGGCTCGCGGGCCCGCACGCGCGCCAGTTCCCCGCCTCGGCGGTGCTGGGCCCGTCGACCGAGTCCGTCGTCCCTGGCAAAGTGGGCCGCCGGAGCTCTGTCGGATGAGCTATTCAGCCACTTTCATGCGATAGATGCATGCGTTGACTTTCAAATCGACTCAATATGTCAACGCGTTCGTAACTCAACGGTTTCGCGCACTCTCTCTCCGATGCACGTGCAGACTCCCAACAGTTCGACACTCACAGGCAGTGTGTGAGATTGTCGAATCCCATAAGATGGCTCGTACAGACTGCGGCGCAAAGGTGTCGGTGATTTGTTATCTTATCAGTACTACTACCGCCGAAAGCCCACCTGACCGAGCATCAAGGTCAGCATCTGCTTTTGAGTCGACTTGGGGCACCCGTGATCACCATCGGTATTGCCGAAAGCCCACCTGACTTCGCACCAGGATCAGCGTCATCATGGATCGCCACGCATTATTTCTCCTCTGCCACCTGTTGCTCTATAAGCCCTGGGATACCCGAGGGGGCTCGCCTGTTGCTCTGTAAGCCCTGGGATTCCCGAGGGGGCTCGCTTGTTGCTCTGTAAGCCCTGGGATTCCCGAGGGGGCTCGCCTGTTGCTCTGTAAGCCCTGGGATTCCCGAGGGGGCTCGCCTGTTGCTCTGTAAGCCCTGGGATTCCCGAGGGGGCTCGCCTGTTGCTCTGTAAGCCCTGGGATTCCCGAGGGGGCTCGCCTGATGCTCTGTAAGCCCTGGAATTCCCGAGGGGGCTCGCCTGTTGCTCTGTAATCCCTTGGATTCCCGAGGGGGCTTGGCTGCCAGAAGGCGCAAAATGTCACTTCATTCTCTCGTCTACAATTTTTGTCGGGATGGCAGACTGGGTTGTTGAGTGTCATTTTCGATTAATCGGTGAGCATGTGTGCCTTATAATGTCTCTATTCGTTCTTCCTGCCTGCCTGCCTGCCTGCCTACCTGCCTGCCTGCCTGCCTGCCTGCCTACCTGCCTGCCTGCCTGCCTGCCTACCTGCCTGCCTGCCTGCCTGCCTGCCTGCCTACCTGCCTGCCTGCCTGCCTGCCTGCCTGCCTGCCTGCCTGCCTGCCTGCCTGCCTGCCTGCCTGCCTGCCTGCCTGCCTGCCTGCCTGCCTGCCTGCCTGCCTGCCTGCCTGCCTGCCTGCCTGCCTGCCTGCCTGCCTGTCTGCAGGTGCGGCTCTCTGCACTGTCTACGGCACGTCAGGTGCATCATTGCTAGTGCCGTTCCTCCCTCACCATCGTCGTGCCTCATCATGTCTCATTCCGTGCTCCCTGCCTGTCCCCTTTGCCTGCCTGCCTGTCTGCAGGTGCGGCTCTATGCACTGTCTACGGCGCGTCGGGTGCATCATTGCTAGTGCCGTTCCTCCCTCACCATCGTTGTGCCTCATCATGTCTCATTCCGTGCTCCCTGCCTGTCCCCTTTGCCTGCCTGCCTGCCTGCCTGTCTGTCTGCAGGTGCGGCTCTCTGCACTGTCTACGGCGCGTCGGGTGCATCATTGCTAGTGCCGTTCCTCCCTCACCATGGCGGCTCCTCTGCCGGCGCTTCTTCCACGGCTAATCCTTCTGCCGCTTTTTCCGCGGCCAATCCTTCCGGTCCGGTGGTGCACAGGAGGTTAATCCGTAAGTCTCGTAGCCGTCCGCAGTAGCGACTTGTAACTGATTACTTTCTCGCCATGGGTCTTCACACGTGTGTGTTATTTAACACACGTGGCTGTCATTCAACACACGTGACTGTCATTTAACAAACGTGGTTGTTATCAACACACGTGGCTGTCATTCAACACACGTGACTGTCATTTAACAAACGTGGTTGTTATCAACACACGTGGCTGTCATTCAACACACGTGACTGTCATTTAACAAACGTGGTTGCTATTCAACACACGTGGTTGTTATTCAACACACGTGGCTGTTATTCAACACACGTGGTTGCTATTTAACACACGTGGCTGTTATTTACCACACGTGGATCTTATTTTCAAAAACGTGGCTCTTATTTAACACACGTGGCTGTTATTCAACACACGTGATTCCTGCAGCCATTTTGTGTGCTACTGCTGAAATGTGTCATAGCTGGCGTGATTGCTACAGCTGAAGTGTGTGCTACAGCTGTATGTGCTGCAACTGAAATGGTTGCTACACTAGATATGTGTGGTACTGCTGAAAGTGTTATAGCTCATGTGTGTGCTACTGCTGTCATGCTCATGTGTGTGCTGTGCTACTGCTGTCATGTGCTATAGCTCATGTGTGTGCTACACAGCTGAAGTGTGCGCCGGAACTGAAATGGCTGCTACATCTGAAGTTTGTGCTGCAGCTGAAATTGTTGCTACAGCGGATGTGTGTGCTACTGTTTAAATGTGCTATGCCATGTGCGCTACTTCCCTCAATTCCGCAGCTTTCGGAACCTCCCATCCCTGTTTTTTTTTCAAGTCGACTTTGCTAAAATCACCAGCTACCAACGTTTCCGTTTTCCCGGTGCCGCCCATTCCCGTTCTCTGCAGTGAAATGGGTGGCCCATCTGCATCCTTCCAAGCTCAACTGTTGAAATGTCCTATAGCTGATGTGTGTGCTACTGCTCTGAATCACCAGCTACTAACTTCTCCGCCTTCCCGGTCCTTCCCATTCCCGTTCTTTTCAGTGAAATGGGTGGCCCATCTGCATCCTTCCAAGCTCAACTGTTGAAATGTCCTATAGCTGATGTGTGTGCTATTGCTCTGAATCACCAGCTACTAACTTCTCCGCCTTCCCGGTCCCGCCCATTCCCGTTCTTTTCAGTGAAATGGGTGGCCCATCTGCATCCTTCCAAGCTCAACTGTTGAAATGTGCTATAGCTGATGTGTGTGCTACTGCTCTGAATCACCAGCTACTAACTTCTCCGCCTTCCCGGTCCTGCCCATTCCTGTTCCTTTCAGTGAAATGGGTGGCCCGTCTGCATCCTTTCAAGCTCAACTGTTGAAATGTCCTATAGCTGATGTGTGTGCTACTGTTCTGAATCACCAGCTACCAGCGTTTCCGCTTTCCCCCCCATTCCCGTTTGCAGTGAAATGGGTGGCCCATCTGCATCCTTCCAAGCTCAACGGGAAAGTGGTCGGCGACAAAGGAGCATCGGGGAAAGTCAAGTTGAAGGTGGTGGAGTACGTATGCCTCTGTCTGTCCCTCATGCACTTGTTGTATTGGTGCTGAAGCGAGTCGGTTGTGTTGAAACGAGCCTTTTGGAGTCTAACTGTTGAGGCGACTCAGAGGAGCATCGGGGAAAGTCAAGTTGAAGGTGGTGGAGTAAGTATGCCTCTGTCTATTCCCTCATTGACTTGTTCCTGATGTTCCTGGTGTGGTTGAGTCGACTCAAAACACAACCTGAAAGTAGTGGGCGGCAGAGGACAGGAGCATCAGGGAAAGTCAAGTTGAAGATTGTGAAGTACGTGTGCCTCTGTATGTCCCCTCATTCACTTGTTCCACTGGCGCTGAAACGAGTCTTATGTGCTGAAACGAGTCTTCTGTGCTTACACGAGTCTTATTTGTTGACACGAGTCTTATGTGCTGAAGCGAGTCTTATGTGGTGAAACGAGTCTTATGTGCTGACACGAGTCTTATGTGCTGACACGAGTCTTATGTGCTGACACGAGTCTTATGTGGTGAAGCGAGTCTTATGTGCTGACACGAGTCTTATGTGCTGACACGAGTCTTATGTGCTGACACGAGTCTTATGTGCTGACACGAGTTTTATGTGCTGAAACGATTCTTATGTGCTGACACGAGTCTTATGTGCTGACACGAGTCTTATGTGCTGACACGAGTCTTATGTGCTGACACGAGTCTTATGTGGTGAAACGAGGCTTACGGAGTCAACTTTTGGGGCGCCTCAGAGGAGCATCGGGGAAAGTCAAGTTGAAGATTGTGAAGTACGTATTACTCTGTCTGTCCCCTCATTCACTTGTTCCACTGGCTCCTGTGAGTAAGCGTTTGCTCTCTGGATGCAAGGTGACTTTTGAGGCGCCTCAATTGCAATGATTACGACATGCAATGATGGCAGTACTCTCCTCTGAAGCTTACTGTATCTTCCATTGCCCCTCTGTTGCCCCATTGGCAGGCTCACACCGTCGCTCTACAAGCTGAACTTTGACTACCACATTCTCAACCTCAAGGGAGGAGATGCTCCCAAGTTGGTTTAATTTTGAGTCGACTCAAAAGTCACCTCCTTACCGTATCGTCTGTTGCCCTTCCATTGCCCTTCTATTGCCCCATTGGCAGGCTCACACCGTCGCTCTAGAAGCTGAGCTATGATTACAAAATCTTCAACCTCAGGGGATCACTTTTGAGTCACCTCTTGAGTTGACTCAAAGTGATCCCAGCTTCACAAGCCATGGGGAGTTACAAGCCAATTCGGAGAGTACTGCTCGCAAGTCGATAGAGTCTTTTACGCAGTCTGGAGCATTTGCGGTTGTGGGACGCGAAGGCAACAAGGTTGCTCTGTGTGGGAAGCTTAAGAAAAAGGTGAATTGAGAAGCATTTGGGCGCACGTGTAGAGTTTCTTGCAGTGTTTTGATTATTGAAGAGCGGTAATGCATGTGGATGTGTAGCTGGATAAGCAACATTTGAATGCTGCAACGTTCTTCAAGAACTCATCTTATCCTGTCATCGCATCTCATGTCATTTTCGACAGACAACCAGCCTTTAAGAACATGATACCATACTTCTCCAGCCTTCCCTCAACGAACAAGAATACCACATTACGAACGAACTTGATGGATTTCTGTGCTTAAGACACCAGTAATTTAATTCTTTTCACATATCATCTCAAAATTTAATCTATCCAATTTTGTCAAAAGCATCTTGGAGTTACGGTAGTGGTGGAACGGCCACCCCACCATATCTCTTCCAGATTTGGCACATACAGTAGTACAAGTGACAAACGCTTTTGAAGTCGTCTCGCCTACCGTATATCAAACTGAACAGAAGCCTATAACTTCGAAAGCACCCCTTGGGCTCTGCTCTACTCCACACGCGATATTCTGCGCAGAATCTTGCCAATGAAGCTCGCACTCTCCCCGCAAAGTTGTTCCCGAGATCAATCTTCTGCTTGCCTCCTGCCTTGGCCTGCTGCGCATTGCGCATGTCCCTCAGCTCTGAGCGGAGCACCTGGTGGGAGACACAGGGGCAAACAAGAAGGGGCAAATACGCGGCAAACAAGAGGAGGGTTCAGTAACTGTAGTGAAGGGAGCACCTCTGCTGCACTGCCACGTGCCTGGCTTGGCCTGCTGCACGTTGCGCATGTCCCTCAGCTCCGAGCGAAGCACCTGGTGGGAGACAAGTGAAGAATAAGGGACAAGCAAGGTGAGCCTCTGCTGCATTGCCACCCGCCTTGGCCTGCTGTACAGTTGGGTGCACCTGAGCTCTGCGCTCTCTGCACTGCCATGTGTGAGTGCGAGAGCAAGGGGGGAAGAGTAAGTGTCAGGGAGAAATTAAGGGCGACCAATGGGCAAGAAAGCGGCAAACAAGAGGAGGCTTCAATAACTGTATAGAAGAGAGCACCTGAGCTCTGAGCTCTCTGCACTGCCATGTGTGAGTGCGAGGGCAAGGGGGATACAGAGAGTGTCAACTCACAAGGTATGTTCGCAGAAGTATGCACCTCTTGCTGCTCCTCAAAGGAGTGGTGAGAGAGTGAAGAGGGAGAATGTGGGAGAGTGTGAGAGCGAGAGGGGGGGAGAGTGAAAGAGGGAGAGAAGGGGAGAGTGGGAGAGCGAGAGAGGGAGAGAGTGGGGCGGCTCACAAAGTCTGTTCGCAGCAGATTGCGCCTCTCGCTGCTCCTTAGAGCAGCAGCAGGTGAGAAAGAGAATGAGAGGACGAGCGCGAGAGCGAGACAAAGGAAGAGTAGTGACTCACGAAGTCTGTTCGGAGCAGAATGCGCCTCTCACTGCTCCTCAGGGCAGCAGCAGTCATCATGCGCACCCGCTGCTCGCCATCGTCCTCCAGATAATCATCGCTGTTGCCCTCCAATAGTGCCTCACCCTCCTGTAGCAGTGAGTGGGAGCATGGTGCGGAACAAGACGTACGGCAATCACCCGCTGCTCGCCATCGTCCTCCAGACAATCATCGCTGTTGCCCTCCAAGAGGGCCTCATCCTCCTGTAGCGGTCATTGGGAAGGGAAACAGGCCATAGGGGGTCAGAGAGCAGGGGTATTGGCGCACGTGCATTCACCCTCTGCTCGCCATCGTCCTCCGAACAGCCATCGCTGTTGCCCTCCAGTAGAGCCTCATCCTCTGTTGTCCAACAAGGGGTGGCGGGGCCGGGGAAATGAGTGTAAGAGGGCCCGAGCGAGCAGCAGCAGCCATCATAACTGCCCCTCCCCGCTGGTCGCCCTTATCCTCCAAGTAGTCATCACTGTTGCCCTCCAATAGGGCTGCATCCTCCTGTTGCAGTGAACAGGAGATGAGCCATGGGGGGTGTTAGCTGGCGTGCAGGCACACCTGCAGCTCGTTATGAGATGATAGTGTCAGCTGACCTGCAGTGGGTGGAGTAGTCCGCCAGGGCCAGTTGGCAGGCAGCGAGGATGACCTCCCTGGCCTCCAGCTCGTGCTCGAGAGTGAAGGAGGGGGTGAAGGGGAGTACAGTACCATATGCACCAACCGCACCAGTTACAAACACACTCGTTACAAGCACAGTAAAGATCTGACCTGAAGAGTGGTGGAGTAGCCAGCCAGGGCCAGCCGGCAAGCAGCGGGAATGACCTCCCTGGCCTCCAGCTCGTGCTCGAGGGAGAATGAGGGGGTGAAGGGGAGAGACGGCTTCTCGCGGACTGCAGGTGCCGAGGGGGAGGAGGGTGAACCGGCGAATGATGTGGCTGCTGCTAGCTGGGGAGAAGGTAAGGAGGGGGAAGGGGGAAAGTAGGGAAGAGGGGAAGGGGGGAAGGGGGAAAGTGAGTGCTCGAGTGTGAAGGAGGGGGTGAAGGGGAGAGATGGCTTCTCGCGCACTGCAGGTGCGGAGGGGGAGGAGGGCGAACCGGCGAATGACGTGGCTGCTGCTAGCTGGAGTGGTGGGGAAGAGGGTGGAAGGGGGAAGGGGAGAAGATGGAGTGGAAGGTGGGGAAAGGGGAATGGAAGGGGGGAAGTGTTAGGGAGAAGGGAGAAATGGGGGAAAGGAGAAGCGAGAATGACCTCCCTGGCCTCCAGCTGCCACGAGGCGAGCAGGTGAGAGGGCTCGAGTCAATCAAGGTCAATGACAGTCAATGAGGGTGCAAGTGAGGCGTGACAGTCAATGAGGGTGCAAGGTGCTCACTTCTCTGATCTGCTCCTCGGACACGGACGGCCCTGCTGCCACGAGCCGAGTAGCTGAGAGGCTGAGATTGCGTGCACGAGTCAAACAGAGTCAACGAGGGTCACGACAACTCACCTCTCGGATCTGCTCCTCAGACACGGACGGCCCTGCCGCCACGAGGCGAGCAAAGGCGAGCAGCTGAGAGGGCATGCACGAGTCATTGAAAGTCAATGTGGGTCAAGCGAGTCAGTCAAGCTCACCTCTCGGATCTGCTCCTCAGACACGGACGGCCCTGCCGCCACGAGGCGAGCAAAGGCGAGCAGCTGAGAGGGCCAGCCGTCCATGCGGACTGGGAAGGAGAGCGGGCTGGCAGGTAGGGAGGGGTGGGGGGAATGGAGGGGGTAGGGAGGGAAAGAGAGGGGAAAGGGAGGGGGCATTTGACAAAGGCGAGCAGCTGAGAGGGCCATCCGTCCATGCGGACTGGGAAGGAGAGCGGGCTGTGAGGCAGGCAGGGGAAGGGGGAAGGGGAGGGGAGGGGGGGGGCGTAGGGAGGGGACATGGATGGACATGCAGCGAAGGCAAGCTGCTGAGAGGGCCAGCCGTCCATGCGCACCGGAAAGGAGAGCGGGCTGGCAGGTAGGGGAGAGGGGGGAGGAGGGGGAGGAGGGGGTCGTCTGGGAAGAGGGCGACTCGCGAGCAGTAGGTGTGGTTGACGTACCTTTGCTGAAACTTACAATGCTGAGGAGAAGCGAAGGGTTCATACCATGTCAGCCCGTTGGCTCGCAATGCTGCCTCCTTGACGGGCAGAAGGGATTCGTCTGGGAAGAGGGCGACTCGCGAGCAGCAGGTGTGGTTGACGTACCAAAGCTGAAGGGCAGGGATGGGTTCTCACCAGGTCAGGCCGTTAGCCTGCAGACCCGCCTCTTTCACGGGCAGCAGGGGGTCGTCTGGGGAGAGCGCGAGCAGCAGCGGTACGGAGTCACTGGGTTTGCGTGTGGCGGGCACGACACCATAGGCCAGGAGGAGCTCTCCGTTAACCTTGGGAGCATAGGAGACAAACACCTGAGAGGTACGAGCAGAAACAGCAGGGGGATGGGTTCGCTGGGGTTGCGCGTGGCGGGCACGACACCATAGGCCAGGAGGAGCTCTCCGTTAACCTTGGGAGCATAGGAGACAAACACCTGAGAGGTACGAGCAGAAACAGCAGGGGGATGGGTTCGCTGGGGTTGCGCGTGGCGGGCACGACACCATAGGCCAGGAGGAGCTCTCCGTTGGACTTGGGAGCATAGGAGACAAAAACCTGCAGGTGGGGTGGGAGTGCAGGAGGGGAGACAGAGTCTTTGGCATTTGCGCGTGGCATTCACAACTCCGTACCGTAGGCCAGGAAGAGCGCGCCATTGGACTTGGGACCGTACGAGACAAACACCTGAAGGGAGGGAAGTGAGGGAGGGTAGAAGAAGCAGCGGGACGGAGTCGCTGGGGTTGTGTGTGGCGGGCACGACCCCGTAAGCCAGCGAGAGCTCGCCATTGGACTTGGGACCGAGACAAACACCTGCATGGGAAAGGGGGGGGATGAGGGAGGGTATGGGTTGAACAATCTTCTTGGGTTGCGTGTGGCGGGCACCACACCGTAGGCCAGCAGGAGCGCGCCATTGGACTTGGGACCGTACGAGATAAACACCTGCAGGTGGGAGTGAGGAAGGGTATGGGGGAAGGGGACAGAGTTGCTTCGCCGGGGTTGAGCATGGTGGGAGGGTACCACACTTGTAGGCCAGCAGGAGCTCTCCGTTGGACCTTGAAATCGAGAAAGGCTCGTAAGACACCTCAGGAGCCTCAAGGCACCGCGGCGAGCGAGTGTCATGACAAACAGCGAGGCGTAGCAACGCGCAAGCGAGGGAGGTGACTTTTGAGTCGACTCAAAAGGCACCGCGGCGAGCGAGTGTCATGACAAAGAACGAGCGTACCAACGCGCAATCGAGCGAGCGAGCGAGCGAGCGAGAGGGCGAGCGTACCGACGAGACAGCGAGCGCGCGGCGCGCGTGCCAGCGAGAGAGCGAACGAGCGTATCAACGCTCAAGCGAGCTAGAGAAAGAGCGAGCGTATCTACGCACGAGGCGAAGATGAGAATCGCCATGACACCGCGGGACGGTAACGCGGCCATCGCCGCGAGCACGATGGTAACCAGCGCCGCGAAAACGTCGCGTTTCGCAATCCCGCTCACAACCCGCGGTCTGGTCTTTTTGGAAGTTTGGAAGTGACAGTTTGAGCTAACTACTACTGCTAGGACAATGGCCGAGGCGCAATTGTTGAATCGGTGAGCACAGCTCCCTTCGGAACTTCTTTAGACTCAGAAGTCACTCCTGAGATACGCTTCGATAGCATGACCATTGACAGTAGCGTGTTCCTACAGCTCTCTAAAAGAGAAACCTCCAAACTTATATCTAAGGCGACTTCTCATTTGAAGGCTTTTCTGGATTTGGTAGCGGTTCAAAGCGATTGAACGGTGGGCCAACAGCTAAAAAGTGTAGCTTCTTAGGGCCTGGTACAACCTGCGTGAACGGAGAGCTTCTGTCCGGGCCTGAATTGAGCTGAACAGATGATGTGTCAATTATTGTGTTTCTGTACGTTATATTTTGGTCTATAGCGGCGAGAGTCCGAAATTGACTCTTAGGGATTCTCCACTTGCTGAACAGAAGGTGCACCAAACTTGACGCGCCCTCATCCCCGCGTATTTAGGTACTGTATTCTGACAACTGCTGCCAGCAACCACTGTCAGGAAGACATCTGGACACCAATAATTCAAATGGTCAGCGCCAGTCAGCAAAATTGAGCTCTCACGGTGCTCTCAACTGACATCACAAGTTTCAGCGGTGTGTGTTTTACTACGGTTTAAATCGGTGTTCGTAGTTCTATTCGGGAAAGCGAACGGCTCAATTGGTCAGACATCTCATCACTCCCAAGCAAGATCTGAACGAGCCTGATATGCCTTGGCTTTCCCGCAAAAGCCTTCTGCTTCACTCTCCTCTCAGCATTGAAATAAGGATGCGTTACCTGAAGCGGATTGGCCGAAGATCGGCCAATCCGTACCAATCGTCATTTCGAGCCCAGGCTCGGTAGAGATTGGTTCCCAGGTTTGCAAGACTACGGCGCACCGATATACAGGTGACAGGTTCGGTAAGGCAGGTTTCGTGGAGATGGTAACCCAATCTGCGACTGTCGCGCACAAAATCGCACTGGTAAAACAAGGGTTTACGACGACGAGCGAAGGCGATCGATCTTGACTTTCACTTGTGGCGCGAAATTCCGCACCGCGCCATCCAATCTCACGTTCGATATGTGTACTTCGCTATATCAATCTGGGTTCCCGTAGGTGACAGGGTCGTCGGCACATCTCTACTGTACACTCGTAAATATTGACGAAAACTTGTTACCTTGTTGATTACGATGCTACAGTGGACCCACGCGCAAAACCGATCGTCCAGCCGATCGATCCGCTTCAGGTGACGCGTCCTTAGCTTGCTTCTGTTGCGGGGACTGTTATAGCAAATTTTGGGCAAAAAACAGAGCATCAAGACGAGGCTAGTTTCCGCCAGCATCCGCTGGTATTATTACCACACTCATTCGTGTTTCTACATATCCCATTCTCATTCTTCTGAACACAGCGGTATTGCGCCTAAATCCTGGTGGTACCTGTATATCACGTGCTGCGGGTGTAGCGGTCCCGTTACATAGATAATCACCGTGTCAATAGTAATCGGAAAACACGACGGAACGGCGCCACGAGCCCAAATAACGCGATATTCGTCGAGGCTCGAGCGTTGAGTGTAGAGTGTTGAAGTATTTTCGCTTATTTAAGACATGAATGTGAATATCAACACTTGTCACTGCTAGTCGAAGTTACGACTCGACCCACGTGCGGAAGCGTTTCAGCTTAAGCGGCTTAGGAAATCAAGTTATTCGACATCCTCGTGCCATCAAGGATTCATTCGATCAGTCCGACTAGGTCATAGCGATTCGTCGGAATGGCGAATTGGACGCTCGCTGGTTGCTGTAACACTCAGCAGACCCTCTTCCTCTCCTGCTCCGGTGTTTACGCGCTCGTCATCCTCGTTGTAAGCACATCCTTTGCTGTTTTGTGAAGCCACTGCAAGCAATGCAATACGCAGCGTATACTGACGCGATCTCGCTGTAAGCACATTCGACACGCCACATATCAAGCCGTTGCGCGTCTCTTTGGTCGCGAACAGTCTCTGGGAACGTACTCTCGCGCACCACCACATCCCCCCCAGCTCTCTTCTGCTATCTCCCCTCTCTGCAACTATGGCGGACCATCCGCCTGATGCCTTGGAGCTCCGCTGATGCCTTGGAGCTCCGCTGATGCCTTGGAGCTCCGCCGATGCCTTGGAGCTCCGCCGATGCCCTGGAGCTCCGCCGATGCCCTGGAGCTCCGCCGATGCCTTGGAGCTCCGCCGATGCCCCCTGCTCTCTCTACGCCCCCTGCCTGCCGTCCCTCTCCACCTATGGCGCACCATCGTGCTCATGCCATTCAAGCTCATCTCCGTGTAACTACATGAGATAGGAGAATCAAAGCTACCTTCTCTTGTGCACTGACTGGCCGCTCATCCCTTCCTGCTCTCCGCCCCCCCTGCCTGTCCTCTCTCTCTCTCTCTATCACCAGTTATGGCGCACCATCGTGCTCATGCCCTTCAAGCTCATCTCCGTGTACCTACATGAGATAGGCCATGCGTCCGCATGCGTCATGACGGGCGGCAAGGTGAGTGATGAGGGGCGGGAAGGTGCGTGTGTGTTTCGACTCCAGAATGCAGTACTGTGAGCTGAGTGCCATGCGCGAGATAGGCCATGCCTCCGCATGCGTCATGATGGGAGGCAAGGTGCGTGTGTAAACAGGGGTCATGCCGTACGTGCACCCTTCATGGCATGAGATGGCGTGCACTGCATGAGATAGGGCCATGGGCCATGGGGGCCATGCATCCGTGCTCGACAGCGGTCATGCCTTAACACACCCGTCACGGCATGAGACGGCGTCGGCGTGTACCGGCATGAGATAGGGCATGCCTCCGCATGCGTCATGACAGGGGGCCAAGGTGGGTCGTGGCAACATACGGTATGTTTAAACAGGTGTCATGCCTTAACGCCCATCATGGCATGAGACGGATTCGATATAATACCCTGTCTGAATGCCCTGTGCTGCAGGTGGAGGGCAGAGAGGTGCAGATGGACGAGGGGGAAGTCACTTGCACTCGGGGCGGATTCTGCTTGCTGGATGGGAGTCACACGGGTCATGAGTCACTCTCTATCGTGTTGCGTGCTTATGCCCTGTGGT